TGCATCATCACAGACTTTTCTCCACTGGTTGCTGAAGGGGTGGGAGTGTTGCCAGCCCCCAGCCCCCTGCTAGCATTCTGAAGCAAGGGAGTGGGGGTGCAGTGCATGCATCTGTTGATGATATCGAACATTTCAGTCTCCCTCTCCCTGCTTCTTTATACGGTCTGCAGAAAACTGACAGAAAACAAGCCAGCAGGGGACTGATAACAGTGATTATCACCTCATCAGCAAAACGATAGGCTCTCTCCATTACATCAAACTGTTCTTAAACAGCTTACTGGCTGACCTGTTGGTTCATTCCAAACAGCCCTAAGCAGTCATGGTCCTGTCTGCCTGTCCCAGTGAAATTGGAAAGAGACAGACACAGACACCTCTCAGCATTAGCTAGCATACCACATGCCTATGGTCCATGGGGCTGGGGTCTGTGGTAGGGGAGATGGGAGGGAGGGGGGGATTCCTGCTCAGAAGTGAGCAGTTGTGGGGTGGGGGGTATGGCAGCGGGGAGCTAGGCAGACCCTGCTGTGCCTGCAGTCTCTGCTGGAGCTTCAGAATGGGAGCAGAGGGGAGGGGCCAGCTCTGATGTGGAGCAGAGAGCCCTGCCCAGCCCAGAGAGCATGCTGGGATGATGGGGGAGTCTGGTTTATCTTAAACCAGCAAGGGGTCTGGGACAGACGTTGCATAAACTGGTTTGACCCTAATCAGTTAAGTCTGATACTACATTCAACCAGGCTCATCTCAAACTGGTTTCAGCCATTTTCAAACTGGTCTATGTGCACTGAACATCTGTTCTGTTACAGGTTTAAAAGTTTCTGATCACTTTAATAGGTTTGTGTGTAAATATTCTCCCTAGTCTAGGAGGATATAATGTGGGATAGATCACTCTACCTAGTTTCTTATACTCCTTCTCTAAAATAGTTGGGGCCAAACTCTTTGTCCAGTGTAGCAAAATTAGCTCCAATCCCCTTCCTTTGCTGATTCTGCTGCTTGGATTTCTGTTCCCTTCTCGGCACTCTCTGCCAGATCTCCTCCTCTGCTTACAGCTTCCTGCCCTTTGCTCCTGTTTGATCTCCTGCTCTGCCCTCTGCTTCCTGCCCTATCTGCTTATGTGCTGCCTGTCCCTCCCTCATATGCTGTGTGCCACAGAGTTTTCCTGTACCATTTATGGCACTTGTGCCAAAAGTTGCCCACCACTGCTCTAAAATATGCCACTGTTAGAGAAAGGCTACTGGGCTGGATGGACCCTTAGTCTGAACCAGTATCATAAGTCCTATGCTCTTATTCTGAAAAAAATAATTTAAGAATTTAAGATTTGCTGTTTTGGCAGGTAGACCTGGTAGACTTGATTAATCAAGTGTGCTCCAACATGCTGTAATTCTAGTGCATCAGAGCATCCTTGTTACACAAATATAGGTGCCCTTACTTGTTAGAACATTCAGAGGAAGCCATCACACGTAACATGCAAACAGTCTAAAAACTGCAAATATCAATTCGTCGGGTTTTTTCATTAGTAGTTCAGATCCAAACCCAAGACCTTCCACTTTATCTACTTCTTTATTGTCATTGCTCACCTCTTTAATAAAAATCAATGTGTTTAGCAACACACCTAAAATATCCCTAATGTGCTGAAATAAAGCTTGTCTGTGTACTCCCTACCTCACTTCTAGTGACTGTTGCTAGTTCCTGAATCATTAAAATGCATGCATAATGAACAAGCTTTCCGAACTGTTTTAGGAATATTTTCTTTCTAAATCACCAATCTTTATACTTCTTGTTTCTGAAAGAGAGTTGTATGAGTAGCTGAGCCCCAAATTTTTACCTCAACATGGCAGAATTCAAGCTTTAATCACAATTTTCCATTTCCACTTTATATCTCAACATAAAAGAGCACTGGTGTTTTTCACTTAGGTACATTTATACCTGATTATCAGAGTTGCTAACAGAAGACAAATGCTGGTACTGCAATCTGCAACATTTTACTTACAACCAAACTCTTTGCTGATGTGTATTTTACCCTTCTACCAGGCCCTAGACAAAGCCTGCATTCAAATTTATGGTAAAAAAGCTTAGTTGTCAGTAAAAAGCTTATAGATTATCAGTAAAATATGTTTTCTTAGGTTGGTAATCCTGCTTGACTGCAGCAATGGTTTTACAACATGTTACCTCCATCCCAGGGGCTGCCTACTCACCCCTACATCCTAATATCCCCCAAATGAACCCTGTGGTGTGCTGTCTTCCTCTGCCTTAGCCTTGCCCTTCCCAACCCCTGATCCCAGAACAGATCCCCAAAGAAGGGCTACTGTCTGCCTACCTGCAACCCAGCTGTGTTATATGTAGGTAATCAGATGCAGCAGCAGCACATAGCTGGGGTAGGGGGAGATACAGAGGCTCTTGTGGGCTAGAAAGCCCAAAGAGAATACTCCATGTAGGGTGCTGCTCTCTTGTTCAGACACCAAGTAGTGCTGGTTTGCTCTGTCTGTCCTTAAGGCTAGGGACAGACATTACACATAAACTGTTTTAAGTGATCAAAACCCAGTTTAAACCAGTAATGGAACAGATTTTCAGTGTACATAAACCAGTTTGAAAAAGGCTGAAAACGGTTTGAGATAAACCTGGTTGAATGTAGTATCAGACTTAACTGCTTTGGTTCAAACCAGTTAATGCAATGTCTGAACCAGACCCCTTGCTGGTTTAAGATAAATCAGACTCCCCCATCATCCCAGCATGCCCTCTGGGCTGGGCAGGGCTCTCTGCTCCACAGCAAAGCTGGCCCTCCCTCTGCTCCCTCACTGAAGCTCCAGCAGAGACTGCAGGCACAGCAGGGTCTGCCTGGCTTCCCTCTGCCTTCCTCTCCTCCCCTCACTGCTTGCTGCTCAAGTAGGAATCCCCTCTCCCTCCCTCCCATCTCCCACAGCACAGACCCCAGCCCCATGGACCCTAGGCATGCGGTATGCTAACTAATGCCCAGAAGTGTGTGTGTGTGTGTGTGTGTGTGTGTGTGTGTGTGTGTGTGTGTCCAATTTCACTGGGACAGGCAGACAGAACAGTGACCACTCAGGGCTTTTTGGAGCTAATCAACAGGTCAGCTGGTAAGCTGTTTAAGAAAAGTTTGAACTAATGGAGAGAGGCTATTGTTTTGCTGGTGAGGTGATAAACACTGTTATCAACAGGGATCCTGGTTTTCTCTGATTTAAAAAAATCCCCAGTTTTCAGTTAACAAAAAGTAACTCCAACTCTACATGTTTCCATAATTAAAATGAAACATCACTATACACACACATCCATACACACACACATATATGTATACACACATATACACATACACACATATATATATGTATGTATGTATGTATGTATGTGTGCACATGTGTGCACATGTATGTGTGTGTGCATAGTGTTGTTTCATTTAAATCATGGGGAAATGTGGATTTGGGGTTACCTTTTCTAAACAAAAATTGGGGATTTTAATAAATCAGAAAAAAACAGGATCCCTGGTTATCAGCTTTCTGCTGGCTTGCTTGCCTGTCAGTTTGCTGCAGACAGTATAAAGAGGCAGGGAGAGGGAGATTGAAAAGCTCTGTATTATCAACAGATGCATTCACTGCACCCTTCCTCCTCCTCCTTGCCTCAGAGTGCTGGCAGGAGCCTGGGGTCTGGCAACAGTCCCGCCCCTTGAGCAGCCAGTGGGGAAAAGCCTGGAATGGTGCAGGCAGACGTCCCTAATCAGAGTGTCCTGCCGGGGGGCTGGCCATGCCCCTCTCAGCTCAGCACTGATGAAGGGAAGGGAGGGCTGATCTAGTACCCCCCAGTTTCTGGCCTGAGCCACTGCAGGCATATGCCTGCATTTCCTCAGTCCAGAGAGAATGTCTGTCTGGATACAAACGGGTTCATCCTAGCCAGGTTAAATTTACCTGCAAAGGTTGAATCAATATAGGCTCAGGCTTTTTGAATATCTGTTCCTAGCCTAAATTCTTACCTCAAGCTTCTTTCCCACAAGCAATCTTCAGTCAAGCTCCCAGTGGCTTAGTTTGTTTGTTTGTTTGTTTGGGGGGAGGGTTTACAGACTGTTTAATTTTTTATGGACTTTACAGACAGGTGCTTTTAGCCTGTTTTTTGATGTTCTGCCTGTAAATTTACAGACAGCTGGCAGCCTGCTAAAAAAATTAAAAGGCAAAAACGTGTGTATCAACAAAGGGAATTAAGTATATAAGCATAGGGCATGTCTACATGTTGCCCTACAGTGATGTTCTTACTTCATTGTGCTTTACTACTTCCTTTAGTACTTCCTTTATTATGAGAGTGTGGCTCAGTAACTACCCTTATTGTGCCATACACATACTGCATGGTTATTTTAGCAGCTATTTTGCTGTAGCAGCACACTATAAAGGGGGAGTGTGCCACTACAGCAAAGTAGCTACTAGTCATGTGTAGATGACACCCATGGATGCTACAGCTACACAGCATCATGTGTAGATGTGCCCATAGTGTAGAAAATGTAAGAGTGCATACCTGTTGAAGAAATTGAGAAGCAAGCAGATAGAACAATTTCATGTGCAAATATGCCAAAATACAAAAGTTTCAATTGACAGTTTCATTTTGACTGTTTTCTGCCACGGTTTATGGATTAACTTTCATGGTATGATAAAAAGCCCATTTCTCTGAATTCTTATGCCTAGACATGTAAATATGAACTATTTCTTCAGAAACTGAAAATAACTCTTGTTGCTGCATCTCACCCACCACTGTTTCCCTCCTTTATTTCATCCATGTATTGCATAAGGTAATAATCTAGACTGTGAGTTCCCTAAGACAGGGACTTGCCTTTCACTGAATAGCTGAATAGCACCTAGCATAATGGGCCTCAGTTCCTGATTGCTCCCCTTAGGTACTCTGGTACTAAAAACAACAAACAATAACAATTTTTCATTCTGACCGGTTAACAACTACACTTATAA